AGAAAGAAGATTATTGATAAAAGTTTTTCCTCAAAGTCTTTCGTACATAATGAACTATCGAAAATTGGCCCAATCGGGCTCAACTAAGGGTATATTTTGTTTACCCGATACTCAAAAAGAGTATAGGGATACATTCGATTTATGTTGACAGTGGACAGTGTGTAACACCCAGAAAAAAGAGTATCCAGCCCCATAAAGTATGTATATTCTTGATCAGGTTTAATAGCCGAGTCGTTACAGTCACGTCTGTCTGACCAAATCAGATCTCAGAGCCCATAAGAGCTAAGGCAAATACATTTCAAAATTTAGTCAAGCCCCTTTTTCCTCCACAAAGAACGAAAATATTTGACATCCACAATTTTTAAGATATGAGAAACCCGAAAACGCAGAATTATAGAGAATGACCACCAGATTGCCGAATCTGGATCAGATCTAACTATTATTATGAATGAACGAAATGATAAAATCAATTTTCAGTGGCAACGCAAAGCCTTCCACGCGCTTACTCTTCCCCCTCTCTCTTTCTCTCACACACACTCTCGTCGTGCAGTGTACGCCTTCTGCCGGAGGAGAGCTATAATAATTGAGTTCGGGTACAAATGTAGAGTCGCGGCCCTAACTGCGACTCACAACGTTCCTGCTCGTTTCCATATTAAGTAGGTTCAATAATTCTGACTTCCAGTAAATCTTACTTTTGAGATCTGCAGTAGAGAAGAGGATCTGAATTCCAAAGACATTATATCATTTTTCTGCCCATGGCTGCTTGTATAATTTTCACGCAGATCAACGGTTTGTTTTACTTTTTTTTTAAAACCAAAAAATTTGTTATCTAATTTTTGTTAGACAATTTTCCGCCGCTTATCGCGTTTGGTTGCATTTTTCCAATACTTTTCCCAAAGCAAATTTTTGTGTGTGTTCTAGATATAAAATTTTCAAATTAACTTTTATTTGAATTCATCTTTGGAACAGAATGTGCAATAGGGTTCAAAGACTTTCCAAAAAAATTCGCTGATTTTATTTCGGTTGAGTTCATTTTCAGGTTTTTCATCGCACTTGTTCTAGCTGGAAGTTGTAGTCTCTGTCCATTGTATATCGTTTGAGCGGGGAGCAGCAACAACAAACCACTTTGCAATGGGTGCCTATGATTGTTTGGCTTTCTTTTTGTTGTTCAATTAAATATACGAGTATTCCAGTGCAGCGTGCCCGGACCCCTCTCCAGCACAGCACAGCACTCTTCTTCTCTTTTACGTTTGTTATTATTAAAAAAGTTTTTTGAGTTTTTATTTGAATTTCCAAGCGCAGCGCACAAAGTAAAAGTAAAATCAACAAAAAGAACGTGTACGAGCGATAGAGTCGATATTCCAACTATGGGATACCCGGACCCGGACCCGACCCGATACGCAACGAATTGTTTTCCTTATTCGAGCTGTATTTAACATTCATCTGATCTGATCCGACTGACTATCAGTGCTATCCGCGTAGCTTTAAATACATTATATTTGTCCATGAACTGGAAGAATCATTGTAAAGGGGAAGGGTGGTAGGATATCTTTAGGGTATAGCCCAATATTGCCTTCCGACTCTATAGCTAAAGGGTATAGAAAAGTGGTATTCATACTCCTCTTACAATGGAATCAAAAACTGGTGCTGCACTGCCATCAACTCGGCCAATAACTGACCGATTGTGCAAATGTTGTAATAATTGCCAATACCAAGAAACGAAACGCAACGCAACGCAAAAAATTAATAATAAAGATACTTTTGCAATCCGCTCCGCTCAACTCCGGGGAGGTCTCAGAGTCTCAGCCCCCGTGCATGAGGTAATCCAATCGTAGAGAAATAAAGAATTGAGCTTGGGCAAACAACGAATACAATTTTTGTGTGTTTCGTTTAATTGCTTAATTTAATTTGCATGGAATACAACAAAACAAACAGCGGAGCAAAGGCAAAGGCAAAGGCAAGGCAGAGGCTGAGGCAGAGGCAGAGGCAGAGCTCCAAGAAAATACAAACATACCCAAAGTTCTTTTGTTGAGCAGCGCAGCAGCGACGAAGGCAGCACACGGCACAGCGGCAGCAAACAAAACACTTGAAAAAAAACTGTTTCGCAAGTTACCGTTCCGTTGTTGGTGCTTTTTCTGTGATTTTTGTTAACACTCTGTTGGCCACTTTTGCATGTCTCAAAAAAATTGTTAAAAAATTGAGGGGGGATTTTTGTTGCTTATTGATTGCAATTTCTGTCGGATTTATTACCTATTTTGAATCTAGGCAACACTTGCGTGCTGTTCTGCTTTTATGCCATGCGATTATTTTCAGGGGTTTTTTTGTATTTTTCGGAGCACTTGCTTGTGACTTGTGCGAAATTTTTATTTGTTTTTGTTTGTTCACTGTGGCAACAATTTTCGAGGCAGGCAACTATACGAACAGAATTTTCGTTGTCTGAAATGGTGCTTTCTGCGGCTAGCACCAGAACTTTTCTCGCTCTCAGCTTGGGTTAAACTCCGTTAGACGACTCAGCCCCAAGCAGCGATGTGGGGCCGTTTTATATGGTTCTCCAGCGGCGGCGCTCGGCCTCGGCTTCGGCAGCGGCTTCGTGTCTGGTATGATGGATGGCTCGGGCCGCGGGGAGAGGGGCGCGGATGATTGGCTGACGGTGCGCAGACGTGAAAAAAATATAAACACAAAGCAGCTGGTTCTCTATGCCAGCGATGTTGGGCAAGGGCGGTGGGCGGTGGGAGGCAGGGGGGGTCTCAGCTGTTTTCGGTAAAAAGCCGGCAACAACAAACAAGCCTCACATGTGGACAGGAGACAGAGCGACAGAGACGGGAACACAGAGAGTGAGAAAGAGGGAAAGGAAGCCTGACGAAGAGCGGATGGTGGATGGTGGATGGCGAAGCGAAGCGAGAGCGGAAAGACAACAAAATAAAAGCAAATAGGATAAAACAGCAACAGCAGCAACAAAAACAACAACGATAGGTGTCTAGTCTTAACAGGTGGCAATGCGAGGCTTTTGCTTTTGCACGCTGCTTCGGCGGCAGTCATGATTTCACGGCAAACTTATCATGATACGGCTGCGGTATTTGGAGAATAAAACCCACGCAAATTGTGCATTTTCATCATCAATTTTGATGAATTAAATTGATTATTTTTGATCATTTAATTTGCACATTTCTGTTTTGTTTTTGTTTTGCAATTGTTTACTTTTTATCGGTCCATTTGTTGTTCACAAAAACTTCGACGCAAAAATCGAAACACAGTGCAGGGGCACAACAGCTACAGCTACAACAATAACAACAACTGGAAGAAAAAACTGGCCAAACTCGCTTTAATTAGAAGCCAAATAATATTATGTGAAGATATACGAGTATAAACAACATTTGGTACTTAGACATGCTAAATGCTAAATATTATGGCGTCTTGGGTGCCTTGAACTTGCATTATTGATTCCGACTAAGCCAATTTATAATGTTTTGAAAACCTAATTTCGAATCCCGTGGCGGTTAAATTATTCCATATTTGAAATTTACTTTCAAGGTTTTGCAACACTGCAATCGCTCCAGTTTCAAGGCTGCCATATCGCTTGAAATACTTATTTTCTTTTACTCTCACAAAAAGATGTAATTTACAGTTCCTGATATGTAGCAAATGTATAGTTACAGTGTAGTTACTGAGTAGGTATAATGTAAAAAGTACAATTTCGTAGACCTGCTTAAACGTTATTTTATAAGCAATACGATTGAAGAGAGTACTTAAAATTAGCCAATCAAGTGGACAATTGATTCATCAGGCGGTACAAATTATATATTCAGGGCTGGGAGTTCTATTTAGCGAGTAATATTCAACCGAATATTAAAATTCAACCATGAACAGACTTGTCGACTTTTCTCCACAAAAATCTTAAGTATTTTTTCTTCATCGATTGATTTAATTTACTTTATCATTATTCCACTGGATTGCATTTATATCCTTGTCCAATTGTTCAAACAATTTCCCTTTGGCGCTCACCGCTCGTGTCCAATCGATAGAATCGATGACCGAACTGCTTTCTTCAAAACGGCTATTGGCTCTTTTTCTCTGTTTAATCGGCTATGGCTGTCCTTTTCGCTCTCTTTGAATCGGGTACTGGATCGGTAGCAACAATGAGACTCATTCCATACATTGTTCACGGTTCGTTCCATACCACTTACCGTTGGCAACATCGAATTTGTATGGGCAGTTTGTTGTCAGCAACACTTATAGAAAAATTTGCAGCATTCCGCATACCCTTAAAAAAAGTTATTATAGAATTGAGGAAAAGTTTTCGCATCTCAGGCTCCAATGAATGCAGAAGCTAGACAGTCCCCATTATAAAGCTATCTCAAATAAATTTTGGATCGAAAAATATATACAGAACACTAATCATATGCCTTAATAGGTATATAACATGTCGATCTGAGACAAAGTCATCAGTAATGCTTCAAATCAGCTTGGAAAACAGAATTTTAATACTAATTATATGAAAAAACGTTTCATTCCGTTTACCTTACGTTTTAAGATTTGACTTTTTTTGTTTAGACCCAATTTTAGACACAATTAAAAAAGAGCAGTCTTTAAAATTAGCCAATCTTGTAGAAAATTAATTTATCAATCGGAAAAAATTATGTGTTCAGGGCTGAGGGTTCTAGCTAGCTAGCAATCCCAAACCGAATATCAAAATCGAGGAATATGATTTCCGATCGTGGACAGAGAACGATTAGCCCATTGCCGACCAGTGTATAAATACTCTCCCCGAAAATTATGAGTCTTGAACAATTTTAGCGCAGTTTAGGAGAAGGATATCATGTTCTTTTTGTCAATAATTAAAAAGGATTGGATGGATCTGCAAAAAGAATTTATACACAGCATTATTTTCCGCGGCTTAGCTCAAGTTTTCCATGTATCTAAATAAATGGGGGTTAAGTGGGCTAAGCTAGTTTTTTCATCGATATCTTTAATTTACAGTTAAGTCCAAAATCCAATTGTCATGTTTGTCCCGCTTTAAAATTTTTGTTCTTAAAAAAATATCTAAATAAGCTGCAATATGGAACGATACAATCGCGCCTGGAGAGGTAATTGCCAAAATAGTTAGGAAAACAGCCAAAGGTTATTGATAATTTTTCACAGATCCCGGATCCCCGCTGACGCCATTGACTCCGCTGTCCACACAGGTCTTCAAGTTTGACACCAAGGAGGAGTTGACGCCCACCGGCGGTGATACCATGGGCCGTAGGGGCCATGGGGAATTTCGGAGTTTGACTTCGAGTCGCCTAACTGTGCCAACACGTTTTTCGCAGTCATTTTTGCGCACGCGGTCTGTTTTCTCGCCCAATTCTCAGAGTACAGCAAATGGCAGCAGCTATTCGGCGGGTGGAGGAACAACTCGTAGTTCCAGCTCCCGTACCAGTAGAAAGAGCACTTTCTCTACCAAGGTGAAGCGAGAACCCGGCTTGAGCGACAGTTCCTACCCGCGGTTCAAGCACGGCTCCCCGGTGGAGCACCCCACACTGAGCCCGCGGGTGCGTTCGCTTCTGAACCGCACTGGCAACGAGCACCTCACGGAGATGTTCACGCGTCAAGAAATCGACTTAGAAGTTCTGATCCAAATGACACTTGACGATCTTGAGGCTCTCGGGGTCCGTGGCGCCAGGGAATTGAAACTAGCGATGGAGGTTATCAAATTCGCCAAGAAAATATTTTGCTAATTTACCACGTGGCGTACATAAGTCCATTTTAATATTGTGTTTTATGTCAATTTTACTTTCATCAACAATGTGTATTTGTATTAAATGTTCAATGTAAGGAAAGATGTTTTTATACGTACAACAATAATATAAACTTTGAAATCGATCTTATTGCCCGCTCAGGGGTTAAGTTAAGCATTTTTCGGGCTGGGCAGCACTTTTCTCCTTGTTCTTGCCAACACTGCTGCAGATTTTGCGAATTTTCCAACAGCTCACATCAGTGCTGTCAGAATCTCGGAAGCTGTCAAAAAACAAGCTAAATTCAGCTACGCCCGCAAATAGTAAGTTAATTGTAACAAATTTGTGGTTTTAGTCTTTTTTTTCAGTATTTTATATTTCCATTTTGAAGTAGACTCTATAACAAATCATAGCTTTCTTGTGTTCACAACTTATATACATATCGAAAATTTTGTACTTTGGCAAAAATTTAATGGTGCGGTACGGTCTTTGTGTTAGCAATTAAGTAAATACGTTTAGATCGTTTTGTGCTCAAAATATTTTAAAATTTTTACAAAGTCATCGTTTCTTTCACACACCATCTTTAATATTGAACAAAAGTGCGATATATAGCTTTAAATAAGCTGAAATGGCACCACTGCCTCACATACATACATAACTTATTTTTAACAATTTTCGACGTGATGTGATGTGCATTTTCTCTCATAGTTTTGTGCTTAACCATGTAAAATAAAATATTATTAGAAAGTAGTGAATAAACATTAAGAATAAGTGCAAAGGTAACGAAAATGTCTGAAAAGCCGTCGGGAAAATGGACAAGAAATTATGTTCGGCTGCAAAGTGACAGCTGGCTTCTGACTTGCGTTATTTGCCTTGAAGTTTTACATGGCATGGCCGTTGCTGGCCACGCAAAATGATTAATGTGCAATATAAATAACCGACTAATCAGATAAAAGTGCATTGCATTGCCCTGCATTTGCATGTATTGTGCATATATAAGTTGCTATTTTATATGGCAGTATATATAGTGTTGTTTTGTCAAAAAACCATTCGCCTGCAGTGTTGTAAAATGCGGCCGCTATCATAATGATTCTGTTAATTTTGCAATAAATCTTAAAAGTTGTTTCAAACTCACGCTTTTCGAATATATAAAATGGCATAATTTTCTGCATGGAAACATTTGTTATTAATTAATTGCCAACTTTTATTGCCACATGCGATACTTTCGGCGTTTGGCAACACTGACGACTGTCTGCTGTGCCTAGCACGTAAAAGCAAAAATGGTAAAATAAATCAACTAAATTCTCCGCCGTTACGCAAAATAACACCTAAATAAACTAAAGTTCGGCCCTAGTTCAACCAACTAGTTTTTGGCTCTAAATTAAATAGGCAAAGTGCGGTGAAAACACCTGCAGGCCGCTGAGGAGGCGACAACCTACGGAGAAAAAACATGTACACACACCACACTCGTATATGTGAATGTGTATATTAAGCAGCAAAAACAACATTAAATAATACTACAATCGGATATCTTGTATTTGTGGACTCAATAATAAGCATTCGATTCGCCAGCAGACAGCCGCCATTAACTGCAAATAACGCACGCCGAATGCCAGGCCGCATATAAATAAATAAAAAGCCGAACAGCAGCACAGCACCTACTACATACACGCAAGAAAAGAGAAGAGGCACAGCACCTCCAAAAGAGCAAGAAGAAAATTTAAATTACTTTTAATTATGCTTGCAAATGTTGTTTGAGTGGCCCGCGATGCGTGCGCCCGGCGGCCCCGGGTCTCCGCTGTCGCAGAGCGGCCGCCGGTGAGAGGGAAAATTGCTCTTATGAAATTTTGCGTAACAGAAAAACTCGAATGCAAATGAAAATGCAAAAAATGGGAATAAGAATGCGTTGAATTGTTTAATATACGCTGGCTGCCGGTGCATCTGCAGGTGCTGTTGCGGGTGCAGCCCCCGCTATGGGCTCCGGCTCCGCTCCCATTTGTTTGCGCCCAGATAAGCTCTGGGGCTTCTTCTGCGGCGCGTTTGTTATAAACAATTTTTACGGCTGCCCAAGCGATTCTCCACAGCACGCACACCATTCCACACACACAATATTAATTCGCCGTATCTGTTTATCTCTGTTTCCTTTGCAGTAAACATAATGCCCGAGAAGTATATAAACCCCTAATGTAAAAGCCCAGAATCGATTTCTTACTATTAGCTACCCGTAAACAATTAACTTATGTAAGTACAGGCGTGGGAGTAGTCCGAGCACGAGGCAGAAGCTAATTTCACCATCCAGAATCAATATAGGACCTAGACGAGCAACCAAGACAAGGATCAGACCGAACCGACAGCAACCGACCCCGACACATGCATGAATAACCACCAGCCGAAGAGAAGTCCAAGCCCCAACGAGTAAACGATTCCCACGACCGATGGCCGCCGAAAAGGAGATGCTGGCCCACGACATGGTCCGGCGACGGAACTGGGCCCGGGCCGTGGCGCTCTACGATCAGCTGATCTCCGCAGCGCCTGGCTCCGCACAGGCACAGGCGACGCGGGCGCAGAAGGATCAGCAGATCGCCTGCCTGCTGGGCCGCTGCGAGTGCCTGCTGGAGCTGGGCAAGTACGAGGGCTGTCTGGCCGATGCCTACAAGGTGCTCACCCTGCTGGCCGAGCAGACGGAGTGCCTGGCCAGTGTCTCGCGCGCCCGTCGCTGGCTAGTCCACGCTCTCTTCAAGATGCACAAGTATGGGGTAAGTTCGGATCGGCAAACCCTTACGTACACGAATCGCTGACATATCTGATGGCCTTGCTTTTCCCGTAGGATGCCGAGATCTTTTTGAGCAAGTGGATCAACGAGCTGAGCGGCCAGCAAATATTCTCGGACATATCCAAGACCCTGGAGCGCTACAAGTCCATCATCCAGATGATCATGAACGGCCAGCACAAGGCCCAGGCGCAGAAGATACCCCACGCCCGGCTGGAGGACGAAATGGCCATACTGGACACCAAGCTGGACCACTGGGCCACCAACAACCTGCCCCTGGACAAGTACAGCAAGCTGCTCAGCAACAAGGGCCTCAAGAAGCGCGAACAGCAGCAGCAGCAGCAACAACAGCAGCAGCAGCAGAACGGATCGGGCAGCGGCAGCGGCAGCTATGCGAGCAGCAGCAGCAGCAGCAGCACTGGCAGCAGCAGCACCATGTCCAGTTCCAACACAAATCTGCACAAGACCAACGACCTGCTGGCGGCCATGAAGCTCACGGCTGGCAAGCACCAGCCGGCCTCGCCGGATGGCCCCAGCCTTGATGCGGCCTCCGGCGGGGATCAGGCGGCGCCCTCGACCACTTGCAGCTACTGCGCCATCAACTTCCTGACGAGGAACGAGCTGCGGCAGCACTGCCAGACCGAGGCCCATCAAAAGGTGATCATGAGCGATGAGGGTGAGTGTTCAATGCGGAATATAACAACAAAGGCGCTGCCTTAAGGTCCATCCTGCCATCGAGTCGATGATCAAAACTAGGCGAAACTACTGCAGGCCTCCTCACATCCTTACCCGAGCCATCACCCCGGGCACACTGGCACACACAGATCAATTCCTCCCAACGACTTCCGCATAAACTGTAGCGACAAGGAAGAGTAGGAATCATTTCCCCATTTCTTCTCCCACTGTCCACGGACCTCGAATGTCGCATGCCCAAGCCCAGCCCCGGACGGCCCTTAAACCGCAACAAGTGGCGCGCCGTGGCCCAAGGCTGGGCGCCCGCCTGAACCTCATCTAACGCACTGCAGACAGGCCACAATATTTCACTTTTGAGCAGAAATTTGTTTCGATTAAGGGCCAAGGGCCATAGAAGGATCTTGTTAGACAGCAAATGCATTACAAAAACTAATAATTGTTAAAGAAAGCGAGAGTAAAGTGTTCCCGCAAAGCGTCGTTGCTGTTTCTCAGGCATTCGAGCAGGTATGCCCTTGAGCTCCTCCTTCTTTCTTGCTTTTGCTTTGATTTCCCAGTCAATCTATGACCTTCTGCCTCTTGGTGACCGCTTGCACCAGTGAAAGCCGCTTCAAGGAATAATCAAAAACTGATTTTGATTTAATTTATACGCGAAGAATGCCCAATAAAAACCCACTGGATTTGCATTCGAGAGTAAATTAGCTCCGGTAGAAAGTGCGTCGTGAAACAGCATAGATTATTCGAATATTCCGAAGTATGGAATGGCATGCCATAAGAAAAACCGATTCTTATGGGGACTGTCGACTTATGGGGATTCCATGGCACAAGTTTTTCATTTGATATGTGATATGGAAGGAGGACAGACCGTTTTCCAAACCGTCTTTGTGGCTAGGTGGAAAATACACTTATCCGAGAAGGGAGGCAAGGAAAAGTTCGGTTCTAATAGCTGACCCGTAGCGCAACACCCCGAAGGAAGCTTCTCCGACCCCATCAGCATCAACAACCGAGTCGATATGGTAGCTACATCTGACCAGTTCTCAGAGATTATAAGAACTAGAGCACCCAAATGTTGTGTGCGCGCGCTCCCTTCCTCCCCCACAAAAGACGAAAACCAGAAACTTAGAATTACTGATAATTGCCATATCTAGTAGATTGCTCAATCTGGATCAGATAAGACCATTATTATGGTCAGGAGAAGCCAATGAACTAATTGCAGTGGCTACTCATTCTCTCTCTCTCTCCCTCCCTCTCTTCCTCGTGCAGTGTGCGCGCTGGGGCGGGGAGGGGAGCGAGATAGAACGTCTGGCGTTGGTGTGAGAATAGAAAGGAAAGAGAGAGACGTACAAAACAGGAAATGTAAAGAAACATAAAATCTCCCAATCGGTTCGATGCACTTTTATGGCAATTTCCCAGTTCTTTTTGCGACATCGGGTATAAAAGTAGAGCCGCGTTGTGACCATCTGCCTCGGGCTTGGATCGGTTGTTTATAGATATAGATGTAGATATAGATATAGATTTTGTATACTGCAATCACTCATTTCGCATTCGATTATCCCGTCTAGGACGAGACTGGAAATGGCGGCCGCCACCCCGCGGCTACACCCTGGACACGTACAGTCTGTGCGAGACGTTCAGCGATGCACACAC